TGTACCCGCGGAAGTGGTGCTCGCCGCCACGGATACTACGGGGGTCGACGCCCCCACGGGGAGGGACTCGCTGTTAGCATTGCCTCTCATCGAGTGGGGCCGTCTGCAAATGGCCGACAGCTCCCTACTCGCGCTACGTCGGAAGGTTGACGATCCCGAGGGTGGGGAAACGCGGGTCGGTTCCTGGGTGTGCAGACAGGGCCTCTTGATGAAGTGGGACAACATGTCCCGGCGTCACATGCTCGTGGTGCCGTTTGCTGTACGGGGTAGGGTCGTCCTGGCTGCCCATGAACGACTCATGCATCTGGGGTTTCACAAAACGCTCGCCCTCATTCAGCGAGACTACTATTGGCCGGGGATGGGCAACGACGTGGCGAACATTCTTAAGGGATGTGTAGGGTGCGCCCAAAGAAAACCGCCACCAATAGCGGCTAATCCACCGCTGCAATCCATTCAGGTTTCGCGCACGAACGAATTGGTCGCGCTGGACATCTTGGGGCCCTTTCCCGCTACGCCTCGGGAAAATAAGTTCCTGCTGGTTGGCGTAGAGTACTTCACCCGCTGGCCCATGGCATGGCCACTCGCCAACCAGTCGGTTGCGGCAGTGGCGGACGCCTTTGTCCAAGGTTATGTTTTGGACAAAGGCGCCCCCGAACGCTTGCTGACGGATCAAGGGAAAATTTTTTCGAGCGTTTTGTTGCGCGAGGTGTGCGACCTGTTGGGTACAAAGAAAGTACGTACCTCCCCGTACCACCCGCAGACTGACGGTATGGTTGAACGTCTGAACAGGACGATTACGTCTATGCTGTGCCAACAGGTATGTGACGACCAGGTGGATTGGGACTTACAGGTACCGGGGGTACTAGCGGCCTATCGGATGGCACCTCATGCGGCGACGGGGTTTTCTCCATTTTTTCTGATGTATGGGCGGGAGGCCGATCCGGCCATGGACGTCCAACTGGGGATTTCCCAGCCACGTGCAAAATCTAAATTGGCAGACCATATCAAGTTTAACATCGCCAAATTGGCTGAAGCGCGAGAGGCTGCGAGATTGAATTCGCGGTCTCGGCAGATCGCGAACGAGCGATTGCATGGATGGAAGGTGCATACGCACAATTGGGAACCGGGCGATAAGGCCTGGCTGCATTGTCCACACGCACCGTTGGCTACGTCTCCCAAACTGTTGAGACCATGGAGGGGACCGGTGGAAATTGTGCGGGTTGCACGACCCCAGAGTATACAGATTAAATGGGGAAAACGCCGTTGGTACGTGCACCCCTCCCGACTGAAACCCTACGCGGCGCCGCGTGACCCCGGGTTGTGCCGTGACGACCGAGCGTGTGATGTGACCGTCGACTCGGGGAGGGATGTGTCGCAGGCTGATCCTCACGTGTCTCCACCTGACCCACCCCCAGGTGTCTCGGACCTGACGGCTGTTGACCGTCGGGAACCGGAACCCGCGGCTCGCGCGGAGCCCCGATGCCTGGCCCATGCCTTCCTGAACTGCCGGCGCCACCGGATGGCCAACTGCGTCTGGTGCCGTACGACGGACCGGCAAGGCGGACTCGGGATAGGACGCAACACTTTTCATGAAAAAAAAAAAAAAATCTTTTTTTGTTTAAAACCCGACCTCGCCGCCGGGTTCCCCCTCTGCCGGGGTAATGTCCCGTTCAAGGGACGCTCGGACAGATTGGGACGCTGCACGAGTCGGAGAGAAAAGAAGAGAAAATGAATAAATACATTTTTTTTTATTGTTACTCTTTCCGCATACACATTATCGTTGCCACTCGCCGGATTGTGCATATTGTTCTTGTTGTGGGTGTGGCGGTTGCTGGGTTTTGCGGATTGCGGTGTTCATGTTGTGTTGTTAGGGTTTTGTTGTTATGTTACGGGGCACACATAGGGGTGAACGGGTGTTGTATATTTTATTAGCAGCCGGGTCGGCTGCGAGCTATGTGGTAGGGGGTGATGTAGTGGTGGTGTTGACGTGCGCCGACAGTGATGGATCACGGGGAACGGGGTTGGGCACGCGATGTGGGCGTGGTATGGACGCGCGCGCCGGTGGTAAGGCGCGCTGACACAAGCTGGGAAAAGAGGATCGTAGCGAGTGCGCAGTGATTGGTCAGATAAGATGGGTGCTCTCAGCGACGTCCGCAGGAGGGGCATAAAGGGAGACGCGCGAGAGCACTCGTGGTCAGTGTTAACCAGTTGAAGACCGAAGACGGGGTGGAGGAGGTAGTGGCCCGAGACCCCTAGTCCCGCCGTCCTTGTGAGGACCGGGGCCCTGTGTGGCTCGGAGCCGAGACTGGGGAACCCGTAGTCCGACGCCCGTGTGGGTCGGGACGGTGGTACCCAGAGCCGAGACGGGCACCCCGGCTGGGTGTGTTCCGGAAGGCTACGGGGCGTAAGAGCCCGTGTCAGTATAGCTGAGTGGGTGTTAGTCACCCGAGTAGCTAAGGGGGGTGTTGGTCACCCGTGTAGCTGAGTGGGTGTTAGTCACCCGAGTAGCTAAGTGGGTGTTAGTCACCCGAGTAGCTAAGTGGGTGTTAGTCACCCTGGTAGCTGAGTGGGTGTTAGTCACCCGAGTAGCTGAGTGAGGTGTTAGTCACCCATGTAACGAAGTGGGTGTTAGTCATCCGTGTAACTATAAGTTGGTGAAATAAAAGAGTGTGCTACCCGTGAAGTCGTCTCCCGCCGAGTTACTACTTTACAACCCCATGGCATCTGGGTTTGTCCCGTGACCTGTCAGCGCCCAATTAGTGGTGAATTGCAGCCGTTGTTGTGTCTTAGGACTGGCGCAGAATGTCAGTACTCACTGTCTCAGTGCTCAAGCTATGTGTCAGTACTCACTCTGTTTCAATATTCTCACTGTGTTAGTAGTCTCACTGTGTGACCGCAGTCTCGTATATGATGAGTTAGTATGAATTAATATTTCTCAGCATGGACATAGATTAAACACGGACTGTACAGGAGGCGCCGGCTGAGTGAAGGCGTCAGATCGGTGGTGCAGGAAACTGGACCCTGCACTCAGGCATGCGGCTCAAGGGGCGAAGGTTCACAGGAAGACCTGGTGAGGGTGTGGTATGGTTCATGGGAATTCCCATTGAGGGTATGGTACGGTTCCCTGGCAATCCCTGGTGAGGGTGCGGTATTGTTCATGGGAATCCCTGGGGAGGTTGCTGTACGGTTCATGGGAATCCCTGGTGAGGGTGTGGTACGGTTCATGGGAATCCCCGGTGTGGGTGCGGTAAGGTTCATGGGAATCTCTGGTGTGGGTGCGGTAAGGTTCATGGGAATCCCCGGTGTGGGTGTGGTACGGTTCATGGGAATCCCCGGTGTGGTACGGTTCATGGGAATCCCTGGTGAGGGTGTGGTACGGTTCATGGGAATCCCCGGTGTGGGTGTCGTACGGTTCATGGGAATCCCTGGTGAGGGTGTGGTACGGTTCATGGGAATCCCTGGTGTGGGTGTGGTACGGTTCATGGAAATCCCTGGTGTGGGTGTGGTACGGTTCATGGGAATCCCTGGTGAGGGTGTGGTACGGTTCATGGGAATCCCTGGTGAGGGTGTGGTACGGTTCATGGGAATCCCTGGTGAGGGAGAGGTACGGTTCATGGGAATCCCTGGTGAGGGTGTGGTACGGTTCATGGGAATCCCTGGTGAGGGTGTGGTATGGTTCATGGGAATCCCTGGTGAGGGTGTGGTACGGTTCATGGGAATCCCTGGTGAGGGTGCGGTACAGTTCATGGGGATCCCTGGTGAGGGTGTGGTACAGTTCATGGGAATCCCTGGTGAGGGTGTGGTACTGTTCATGGGAATCCCTGGTGAGGGTGTGGTACGGTTCATGGGAATCCCCTGTGTGGGTGTGGTACGGTTCATGGGAATCCCCGGTTCATGGGAATCCCTGGTGAGGGTGTGGTACGGTTCATGAGAATCCTTGGTGTGGGTGTGGTATGGTTCATGGGAATCCCCGGTTCATGGGAATCCCTGGTGAGGGTGTGGTACGGTTCATGGGAATCCCTGGTGAAGGTGCGGTATGGTTCATGGGAATCCCCTGTGTGGGTGTGGTACGGTTCATGGAAATCCCTGGTCTGGGTGTGGTACGGTTCATGGGAATCCCTGGTGAGGGTGCGGTACGGTTCATGGGAATCCCTGGTGTGGGTGGGGTACGGTTCATGGGAATCCCCGGTGAGGGTGTGGTACGGTTCATGGGAATCCCTGGTGTGGGTGCGGTATGGTTCATGGGAATCCCCGGCTAGGGTGTGGTACGGTTCATGGGAATCCCTGGTGTGGGTGCGGTATGGTTCATGGGAATCCCCGGTGAGGGTGCGGTACGGTTCATGGGAATCCCTGGTGTGGGTGCGGTATGGTTCATGGGAATCCCTGGTGTGGGTGCGGTATGGTTCATGGGAATCCCCGGCGAGGGTGTGGTACGGTTCATGGGAATCCCTGGTGTGGGTGCGGTATGGTTCATGGGAATCCCCGGTGAGGGTGTGGTACGGTTCATGGAAATCCCTGGTGTGGGTGCGGTATGGTTCATGGGAATCCCCGGTGAGGGTGTGGTACGGTTCATGGGAATCCCTGGTGTGGGTGCGGTATGGTTCATGGGAATCCCCGGTGAGGGTGCGGTACGGTTCATGGGAATCCCTGGTGTGGGTGCGGTACGGTTCATGGGAATCCCTGGTGTGGGTGCGGTACGGTTCATGGGAATCCCTGGTGTGGGTGCGGTATGGTTCATGGGAATCCCCGGCGAGGGTGTGGTACGGTTCATGGGAATCCCCGGTGAGGGTGCGGTACGGTTCATGGGAATCCCTGGTGTGGGTGCGGTACGGTTCATGGGAATCCCTGGTGTGGGTGCGGTACGGTTCATGGGAATCCCTGGTGTGGGTGCGGTATGGTTCATGGGAATCCCTGGTGTGGGTGCGGTACGGTTCATGGGAATCCCTGGTGTGGGTGCGGTACGGTTCATGGGAATCCCTGGTGTGGGTTGTGGTACTCACTCTCATCTGCTGTTTTAACATAATTCAGCACGTTGCCAGTGCTCTGCTCCATGACTCTCTGTAGGGAGTCCGGGATGTTGGAGGCGTCCGGCGAGAGGGACGTCAGTATCTTCATGAACAGTTCTGAGAGACGACATGAGTCATCAGACAGTACTCTTGTCTGTATGTGAGAAATTACACAGAGTCGTGTGTTTCAACAATCAACATATTTGTTGTGTCTGTACACCTTTACTTTGTTGTGCGATAAATTAATTCCCTACAGCAAATAGCAGCCTTCGCTTGCTGTTCCTCGGAAGAGCATTTATATTTTGTGAAAATACGCAGACAACAGCTACGTGAACCTGCCTCAAATGAGTACAGCTGATAGTGCACGTGTGCTATCGACCACGTGACTCTAGCACGACTGTCCATGGCTGTGTACAGAAAAACCACAGCGCATGTGCTGACGCAGGAGCTCATTGCTGCACTGCACTCAGCCGCTTTGACTACAGGGCTAATGCAGGGTGTGTGAGGAGAGGGAGAGACACTGCAGGGCAGAGGTCGCAAACGGGTTTTGATTCCTTACCCGTACCCGGCCGCACCAGGGTCGCAAATGGGTACCCGTACCTGGCCGGGTACGGGTAGCCGGGTACGGGTAGCCGGGTATCGGGTAGGGTACGGGTATCGGGTACCCGGTTGCGACCTCTGCTGCAGGGCTAATGGAGGGTGAGTGGGGAGAGACACTGCAGGGCTAATGGAGGGTGAGTGGGAAGAGACACTGCAGGGCTAATGCAGGGTGAGTGGGGACAGTGGTGACACTGCAGGGCTAATGGAGGGTGAGTGGGTAGAGGGAGAGACACTACAGGGCTAATGGAGGGTGAGTGGGGAAAGGCAGTGGCACTGCAGGGGAAGTGGGAATGTGGGAGGGGCCTGAGGCACAGCCACAGAGAGGCCACGAGGCCCAATTCATGAGCTGAGTGAGGGATTCTCAGAGGATCGTCCAGTGGTGAATGTGCCACAGTGAACCACACGGGCACAGCGCACACAGCCTGAGCCTGGGTGGGGCACACGAAGGGCATCTGCTGCAGCACTGGGCTACTCAAGGCCGTGGAGGAACTCGTCCAGACACCACTCCCATGAGTCCGAGTGTATCACGTGTCCAATGGGAGTTTGTGTCATCGAGGAGACAAGCTCAGGAGCAGCGAGTAGCAAGAGATGCTCGTTCTCCCCCTCTGGGTGGGCTTTGCTCTAAAGCTGTCATCCACATCTGGGATGTTGAACAAAAACTGTCACACTCACACCCAGCAGGTATCTCATTACAAGACAAACACCCGCTACAAAATTCGCTCTTTGACAAACAGAATCACTGAGCAACTCTTGGTGCTGAGAATCAGACGCTGGGTGAGAGTCACAGCTCACCCTGCATGGGGCCTTGAAGTAGCGAGGCTGCAGTGAGGAGCAGCGCGGCTCTCGCCCACAACCCACAGCTCCTGCAGGCTGAGCACTGGGCTGGGCAGCTCGGTTCCCTAACCAGGGTAGCGTGATCCTGATGCTTAGCGGTGGCACTGAGGCGCTGAGACCCCACATGTCCCAGTAACTGGAGGCTTGTGGACTGCAATGCGCACAGCCAAGTCCATCAGGGAGATGGGGAGTTTATCGTTGCATTGCAATCGCTGTGCCGTGTAGTGAGGAGCAGGACCCACCTATACCCCCCTCCTTGTTGAAGGCTCTTGCAAGGGCATATTTTTCCTCCGTGTTGTATGGATCATAGATATCATCAATCCTCAAAAGGGTTGGGACGGTGGAATTGTCAAACCTGGAAAACAAGGGGTACGGTTGAGGATTAGAGTTACTTTGTTTTAAAATCGAATAGAAAGCTAATACACAAATGTAATATATATAAATGTAATTAATGTTTATGCAAAGCATTATAGATTTGTTTGACATGTTTTCAGATCGGTGTATGGTCAATTAAAAGTTTCTTGTCCGACTTTAAAAGCAAAATTTATTCAAAGAAAAATGAAATACCTAAAATATGATGTTATGTAACTTTTAAGCAGTGTTATGTTTATTATTAGCATGCTTATTTGCTCAGGAAAGCCTCACTGCGTATCATGACTTTCTCAGGAGAGACCTGCCAAGTTTTACAGCAGGTGGCGATGATTGCTGTAAATTCCAATGGAATAATATGTGGGCTCTGTAATTGTTAAAAATTTGGCCAAGTTGGACCGTGACGCCGGCATACAACGGCCTGCTCTTGTGAATGACGCCGTGGGATCTTTACCGCCCACTGTGCAGCAGGCGCCGTGTGTTTGTACATTGAACACGTTGCGGAAATAACCGGGGTGGGTGCTTGAGTCGAAGTGGACTCAGCGACAAGCAGCACTCCCGCGAGGCGGCGTCCTCGCGGGGCCACGCAGGGCAGCTACGAGGAGCCTTCCTCACCCAGCATCACCCGGATCACACAGCCGGCAGTCGCCTACACTGCTGAGCTCAGGAGTCCCCCGTGTCTTGCTCGTTCTCTCATCTCTCTACATTTACCCCGTGAATTCCTTCCATCTCTATATCAATCCCATCCATCTCTATAATCCCTCGCTCACCTCTCTCAGCCGGGTGGTGGTGACTATGCACGTGGCCTGTAACCCAACATTGTGGAGGTGGGGGTTGGTGGATCGCATAAATATTGTGAAACTTCCTTCCCGTGGGCGTCGAGTTGCCAAACCCTGGATCACCAGAAGAAGGCAGGAGAGCAAGTGGTCTAATGAACAACTGCTTCTATCTGTACGGGAATAAGTGTTGCCCCCTCCTGCACATGGGTCTCTATGGGTGCCTATAAATTGCCTGAAAACGTCTTAACATAAACACTCCCTGTAAATCCCTCTCATCTCTCATTTCTCTCCCTTCTCCCTGTGCTTCTTCCAGGGCCTCAATTACCATGTTTCTCTATCACTGTCTGTATACCACTCTCCCCCAGTGTCGCTATTTCCCTTTACCCGTGTCTCTCTCAAAGTCAATATGTCTCATGTCCACCTTTCTCTTTGTGTCTCTTGTGTGTCCCGCCGTGTCTCCCTCGGTCTCACCTCACCTCCCCTAGGTCTCGCCACATCCTCTGCCTTGGCCTTGCACTGAGAGAAGTCGTTTGGGATTCAGGATCAGCTGCACTCACTATAACCATTGAACCGGGAGAACATCACCTCTTTGTTTTTAGTTAAAACGTGAAGAAGCAGAGAACCCCACTGCGAGTGAGGAGACGTCTCTCACCTGGAGAGCTTCTTCATGTCGTCCAGTAGAATCCGCACCTGCTCCGTTTTCTTCTTGAATCTCTCATCTGTCACAGCAGCACAATCCGGTTTACTGGGGTCGCACTCAAGTTCATTGAATCAAGCCAGATTATTGGGATCACATGGTGGATATTCAACCTTCCCATGGCAGATGCCATAATCTCTATAGCATAACTAGCTCCCTAATAAACATAACTCATTTTACCCACCCAGGGAGATAGTGGGTCAAGTCGTCCCCGAAAGAAGATTTAACGGTGAACCTTCCGACTGTTGAGTGGCGTTCTCTGCCACAGCACCGACTGCCAATCCCCATGCCTAAGGGACTGAGGGTCCCAGCCAGGCTCCAGCTACAAGACGCGAGGTGTACAGATCGGGACCATGAGAGCTCAACACGACAGCCGCTGCTGTAACGCGAACAGGGAGCAGAGTCGCAATGCGGCGCCCACCACAGTGCCACGCGGTATGGGACGCGCACTCCCCACGTGCTGTGGCCACGCCCTCCCCACGGGTCCCGGTGGCGCCACCGCCACGCACCCCATCACGCCTGGGATGCGGGAGCCGCAGGAGAACAGCGCGACCACAACCCCCCCCTGAGTCTGCGAGCAGCGCGCCCCGCACAGAGGGAGAGAGAACTCCACCCACTGCGGGACGCGTGGCGCTGCTCTAGAGGCCCCGCAAGTGACCGGGAGGGTTGCGAGCGCCACACCGAGCCCAGCATCGAGGGAGCTGTGAGGGGCACTCAGCGTCTGTCACGCCGCCCGGCAATGCCTGTGGATGGAGACTTGGTGTGCGTGTGGCTACCACGGTCACAGACGCGGCACGCAGGGTCCCGCATGCATTCTAGTGAGCAGTGGCTCAAACGTGTGCATATTGAGCATACATACATTTAATTTTCAAGTTATGTGAGAATTACAATGTGGTGCTCTAGAGCAGGGATCCCCAACCCCTGGGCCGCGGACCGGTACTGGTCCGTGGCCTGTTAGGAACCGGGCCGCACAGCAGGAGGTGAGCAGTGGGCGAGCGAGTGAAGCTTCATCTGTATTTACAGCCGCTCCCCATCGCTCGCATTACCGTCTGAGCTCCGCCTCCTGTCAGATCAGCGGCGGCATTAGATTATCATAGGAGCACGAACCCTACTGTAAACTCCGCATACGAGGGATCTAGGTTGCGTGCTCCTTATGAGAAGTCAGAATCCGACACTTATTTTAGTCCGAGCGTAGCCTGCCCATTATTTTATTTACCACTTCCGTCCGTGCCTCTTTCCCGCACTGCGCACTAATCTCAGTCACAGTTTTGTTAAGCCCAAAAGCTAACCCTAGCCAAAATGAGTACAAAGGTTGGGGACCGCTGCTCTAGAGGCCCCGCGAGTGACCGGGAGGGTTGTGAGTGCCACACCGAGCCCAGCGCCAAGGGAGCTGTGAGGGGCGCTCAGCGTCTGCCATGCTGCTCGGCAATGCCTGTGAGTGGAGACTTGGTGTGCGTGTGGCTATTATTTTTATTCTATTTTTCTACCTACGTGACTTTACCCAAAGAAGCAAAGAGTATGTGATTTATATACTTATATTTACGTGAGTGGACCCATGGTTTCTCGTACAGAAGGCCATGTCTGTGTCGAGGTTTGTACTGTAAGGCCATGCGTGTACACAGGGCCATGCCCCACAAAGATGCCACGCATGAACGAGGCCGTGTGCGGAGGCCACGTGAGCTCAGGATTGTGTGCTCAGGCCATGCGTGTACACAGGACTCTGCACATGCATGCTGTAGGTTTACACGCTGCGTCTAGAGGATAGAGCTATGGGGATGTGGTGAGGAGGCTGGTCCCCGTGACCCATGTGCTGAGGTCAGGGCTCGTATGGCCCAAGGTCTCGGCCGCTGCACAAACCTGTAGCCATGGCTCCACGTCCTCAGCTCGCAACGTCACCGTCAATGGTGGAACCGCTCCCCCCTCAGCGCTGTGGGAACAGAGGGAACTCGGTGAGAGGGGAACAGCTGTTGAAACAGGAGCTTCAACATTTTCTCATAACGGTGGTAATTAAAGTCACTATGAGGAGTTTTAATCATCGCAGAGAGTTGTGGGTCATGATCCTCCACAATGGCACGTCATGAGCTTTGTGAAGTTTCAAGAATGATCAGCAAACCAGTGCTTGGATACCAGTGAGCGTGCAAGCAGTGACAGCTGTCATTGCCGTTGTCACATTTATTCACAATCCATGCCAGCTGTGGATCACAGCAAAATAAACAGGTGGAGCTGTGGCACAGCGGTTAGCACAGTGCGATGTAAACCTGGCGACCTGCGTTTGATTCCTGGCCACGGCCAACATCAGTGGTGATATCTGAACCAGTCCTGAACCTACACACACCCGACATCCTCTCCCCCACTTCACCAATTCCCACTGACAAGCGTGAAGTATGGCCAAACATCCCTCTTGACCTGACATGGCATGGGAAGGCCTTCACCCAGCAGTAGCTTGCAAAGGGATATAGCTTATTATTTTGATATAAGTTCATGAACCCAGCACGAGGTTTAGTGGTAGAAGTGAGAGAACATCTCACCCATCAACGACTGGGCTCACCAGGACTACTTTAGACAAACCAGTCCTGCCAGGGTTCGCCTCCACTGAGTCCCATCAGCAGGGTGTGGGCAGTAAACAAACGCCACTGGGTAACCTGATGGAGAGCCATCCACCATCACCATGAGGCTGCAGTGGCTGTGGCCGTGCTCGGCCCTTGATGAGTAACAGGCGATGATGCAACTGAAGCGGTTAGCAGGTGCAGGGTTTGTTTACTCACTCAGCTAAACCCTGGCCCGGGTTCACCTGCACTGAGTCTCATCAGCAGGGTGTGCTCCACTAAGCCAATGCCGGGTACCCAGTGCGAGTGATAGTCGGTGTAGTTCACTCGCAGTGGGGCCGGCTTCCAAGTGGCGTCAGCTTCTCAAACTCCCTCGGGAGCTGCAGAGACGCCCGCAGAGTTCACCACCGACAGAGTCGGAACTCGGCCAACGACGCTCAGAGACGCAGCTCTGTGGTGGACGTGCTCAGTGCTGTCACCGCTGCATTCGCGGCGATGTCGACGCAAAGACTACAAGAACCACCCCGTGATTCCGCAGAGAACTTTCCTAGCCGCAGCGCCGCCTCCATTCCCCGGGGACCCCGAGGCCGCGCTCAGCACGGGGGGAGCGCGGCCCCGTGCTGAGCACGGTGGCTCCCAGGGATCCCTGCACGGTGCGCTGCGGTTGTATGTTTGTGTTGCGAGTTAAACACTCACCACTGCTGTGTTTACTTCATTTGTTATTGGGTCACCTAAAGCGTGATTTAAACTGGTAGCACCTGGTACCCATGTGTCATCTCAGTAGTCTCCAGGAGGCTGGGATAAGCGTTGGGTTTGGGATTAAAGGCCACACCATGGTTGGGGTCAGTGACACCGATTGTCCCCCAGGGTGGATATCTCTGTCAGCTATCAACGCATTCAATATTCGAGTCTGACTATAAAATTCAATTCTCTCTACAACCAGGATCTAGCTCCCAGCAGTAATCCCTTCACTCCTCTTGCCATGAACTTTCACAGTCCAGTCCTTCCCCACGACTCCATCCGCTCCTCCCTCACCCCCAACCAATATTCTTCCCTACTCTTTGGTTCGGTAAAGTCGCCTATGTGACTTTACCGAACCAAAGTCACCTATGTGACTTTACCGAAAAGAACAGCCGCGATGTCTGCTGCTGCTCTCGCCATTTTCGCCTGAAGACGAACGCTTGTGTTGCGTTCGAAACGTCGTGATTTATTTTATTTTATTTCTACCTACGTGACTTTACCGAAAGAACCAAAGAGTATGGATTCCTGCAGTCACAAAAGCTTCAAATCAAGATTGAATATTGCTCCCATCACAGCCCATCAACTCACTAAACACTGCCTTCCTTTATCAACCCAAGTTACCCCTCACATCTACCAACCATCAGCACCGCACAGCCCTACCAGCACCATATTTCCTTCTTGCAGTTGCCTAACCCAACAGGGCTCACGCTAAGTGGCACTGGGTCTAAGTTGGGGGTTTCTATTACAATGGAGGGTAAATGTTAATAGAATGCCCACAATAAGCAATGAGTGTGAGTATTGTATTGAACTCGATACTGGAGGCTTCATGAATCAATCCCCTGCACGCGTTCTGAGTAAACGCTGGCTCCCTGTCCTCACTACAGAAGCGGGGTCTGGTGATGCCATCGAACCCCACCACTCATGACCGGACCTCCCTGCATCGAGTTTTGAAGCCAAGTAGGTTTGAGCCTGGTTCTTACTTGAGGTGAATACCTCGGGAATACCAGGTGCTAATCCCATTCTAGTGATTCATATCCATCAATCACTACCTGACCTCTTCCCAATCAACTGCAGACCATATATTGAAGGCCAAATCAATACTCTTAACTGATGTATTATTATTGACTTAAAGCTTTCGTGACTGCAGGAATTCATATTCTATGGGTCTTTCGGTAAAGCCACGTGGCTTTACCGAAAGACCCATAAAATATGATGTATTATTACATGTGTAGTGACATAAGAAGGGAGGGGCTGCTGGGGGCTCTGGGTTCCCAGGTGGGTCCAGACGCTTAAGCCTCTGGGCGCCAGGCGCTGGGTTCCCAGGGGGTCCAGACGCTTAAGCCTCTGGGCACCAGGCGTTGGGTTCCCAGGCGCTTAAGCCTTTTTGGCGCCGCCAACGGGGGGGGGGGGGGGCTGTGTGTGCTCTGTGGGATGTCTGGTGGCGCACACGGCCCCACCCCTCGTTAGACCAGGCATAAAAGGAGAGCTCCCTGGACGATCAGGGCCCAGTTGTAACTCAAGACCCAAGACCCACGACCAGCCATCTGAAGACCCTGGGATGCTGTGAGAGCCAGTGCTGGGACTCTGGAACTCCCGACTCTACGACCTTGTGAGGGCGAGCGTAGCCAGAGTAGAGTATCTAGAGTATCTAGGCTGTGTAGCTAGGCTGTGTACCTAGGCTGTAACAGAGTATCAGGACTGTTGGAGTGTTGTATTGTAATAAAGAAGTTACATCTACAAGTGTCTCCAGAACCCGTTACACATGAAAGCTCAAGTGATGCGTCTGCTCAACTGGGCATTGAGGTGGTTCTCATATACCGTGTATAGCCCTTAGCCAGTGTTGAAAATGTCACGGTAGTATGGCGGGGGCGAGTCTATCCAGAGGGCAACCACTGGTTGACTTCCCCACAAAGTGGTGCTCATTTTATAGACACCAGATGGATGATGAACTCGCAACCTCCCGACTGTGAGCCACGCACTCTCCCGCTGGGCCACCTGCCCAGCTGCGCCATTATCAAGACAACGTGAACATAATTGCTAAAGTCGCCAATAGATTATTGCCGATAAACTGCAGATTATCACAAAGTTTAGTTGGCTGCTCTGTTGTTGAGACACAGGAATGCTGCTGTACGGTGTGAGCCCACATGCGTGTGCAATGTGAGGCACATTTCCCAAGGCAAATGCTATTTAAATGTAAATGTTAAACAAAACTGTCGCTTTGCATCGTAGACCCTGCTATAGAAACAGAGAATTTTCCACACCGACTCAAATCACCAATAGACCTGATCCACAGACAACATTCATTTGGACATCTGAGATGCCACACTTCCTTGGTCATCCACAGCATGGTTATGCAAGTCCAGTGTTCTAGCACCATGGCTACCACATCAGCCACCCTGGTGCTGCCTCACAACTCGGAGGCATAGAGGCTGCTGCTGTGTTCGACGGCTCAGCTTCTGCATTCGCCCGACAGTTTCTGCGTTGAGCTCGGCAAGAGAAGTGTGGAGTGGGTGGCGGAGTGGCCGAGATGGAACTCTGCTGAGGCCGCGCAGCCCCGAGGGCGGAGCGCTCCCCGTGCTGGGGCCCACAGAGGCTCGCATGGCACGGGGCCTGCGGGTCCATGACGTGACCAGGACTGCGTGGTAGTACAGCAAGTAGGTTGCTGCCCTGTACTGTCCAGGGATGCTGAGTGGTAGCCCCTTGTATGCGAGGTGATACCCCCCAAGTTGTCCAGTTGCTCCCTCACACATGGACGCTCGCTCAGGAATTTGCCAAACATCCCCAGCAGGACGCTCGTTACACGAGTTGTATCTCTGTGATTGTGTCTTGAATACGAGACAATCACCATTACACTTAACTACACCCCGAGACACACAATCATTGTATATTATTAAACGTATAACGTCCGTAGTGAAATGCAGCCAATAACAACGCTGTGGCGTGTCGAACCGCACGGAGCAAGCCCCTCAGAGCGTCTGCAGGCAGCGCGAGGCGGGGTCCAGGTTGGGAACGACCCCGGCCTGAGCATCATCAGCCCCGCAGTCTCAGAGGCCGCGGTTCGATTCCTGCACTGCTCGCTCGTTTGTGTCAGGAACGACCGAATCACGCGGTCGGCTCTCGAGTGGACGTTAAAGATCCAGCCCTGACGCCATTCGAGAGAGAGGAAACTACTGCGTGTTGACATCATAGCACTCCTGTGAGTATTAGTGATCTCGTCTAAATCACCAATCGTGTACGACAGCCCCTATACCTAACTAAAGACACCCCCAGGTCTCTATTACTAAACACAGCAAGAGTTTCAATGGTTAAATAAAGGCCACAAGGTTAACAATCGTAACGCAGTTATAACTGAGTCGGCACTGTCAGCAGGTTTGACCACATAATGACCACCCATAGGCTATGAGCCAGATCCCCGTGTTAATGAAAAGGCTGAGAGACATCGCCCTGGCGATTTGTCCGATCGTTGGCGACGGAGAGAGAAGCGAGAGGACGAGGCGCGTTCTCTAGCACGGGAGCGCGGAGCCCGGCCAGAGCGAGCCGCCCCCCTGTGGCGCGGAGACGAAGCCACTCGCAAGGCCGCTGCTGCCGCTCTACACAGGCGCTGCTGCTGCTGCTCTACACAGGCGCTGCTGCTGCCGCTCTACACAGGCGCTGCTGCTGCTGCCGCTCTACACAGGCGCTGCTGCTGCTGCCGCTCTACACAGGCGCTGCTGCTGCCGCTCTACACAGGTGCTGCTGCTGCTGCCTTACACAGGCGCTGCTGCTGCTGCCTTACACAGGCGATGCTGCCGCTCTACACAGGCGCTGCTGCCGCTGCTCTACACAGGCGCTGCTGCCGCTGCTCTACACAGGCGCTGCTGCCGCTGCTCTACACAGACGCTGCTGCCGCTGCTCTACACAGGCGCTGCTGCTGCTGCCGCTCTACACAGGCGCTGCTGCCGCTCTACACAGGCGCTGCTGCTGCCGCTCTACACAGGCGCTGCTGCCGCTCTACACAGGCGCTGCTGCCGCTCTACACAGGCGCTGCTGCCGCTCTACACAGGCGCTGCTGCCGCTCTACACAAGCGCTGCTGCTGCCGCTCTACACAGGCGCTGCTGCTGCCGCTCTACACAGGCGCTACTGCCGCTCTACACAGGCGCTACTGCCGCTCTACACAGGCGCTGCTGCTGCTGCCGCTCTACACAGGCGCTGTTGCTGCTGCCGCTCTACACAGGCGCTGCTGCCGCTCTACACAGACGCTGCTGCCGCTCTACACAGACGCTGCTGCCGCTCTACACAGGCGCTGCTGCCGCTCTACACAGGCGCTGCTGCCGCTCTACACAGGCGCTGCTGCCGCTCTACACAGGCACTGCTGCTGCCGCTCTACACAGGCGCTGCTGCCGCTCTACACAGGCGCTGCTGCCGCTCTACACAGGCGCTGCTGCTGCTCTACACAGACGCTGCTGCCGCTCTACACAGACGCTGCTGCCGCTCTACACAGGCACTGCTGCCGCTCTACACAGGCACTGCTGCTGCCGCTCTACACAGGCGCTGCTGCCGCTCTACACAGACGCTGCTGCCGCTCTACACAGACGCTGCTGCCGCTCTACACAGGCGCTGCTGCCGCTCTACACAGGCGCTGCTGCCGCTCTACACAGGCGCTGCTGCCGCTCTACACAGGCGCTGCTGCCGCTCTACACAGGCGCTGCTGCTGCCGCTCTACACAGGCACTGCTGCTGCTGCCGCTCTACACAGGCGCTGCTGCCGCTCTACACAGGCGCTGCTGCCGCTCTACACAGGCGCTGCTGCCGCTCTACACAGGCACTGCTGCTGCCGCTCTACACAGACGCTGCTGCCGCTCTACACAGGCGCTGCTGCCGCTCTACACAAGCGCTGCTGCCGCTCTACACAGGCGCTGCTGCCGCTCTACACAGACGCTGCTGCCGCTCTACACAGATGCTGCTGCCGCTCTACACAGGCACTGCTGCTGCCGCTCTACACAGGCGCTGCTGCCGCTCTACACAGACGCTGCTGCCGCTCTACACAGGCGCTGCTGCCGCTCTACACAGGCGCTGCTGCCGCTCTACACAGGCGCTGCTGCCGCTCTACACAGGCGCTGCTGCCGCTCTACACAGGCGCTGCTGCCGCTCTACACAGGCGCTGCTGCTGCTGCCGCTCTACACAGGCGCTGCTGCCGCTCTACACAGGCGCTGCTGCCGCTCTACACAGGCGCTGCTGCCGCTCTACACAGGCGCTGCTGCCGCTCTACACAGGCGCTGCTGCCGCTCTACACAGGCGCTGCTGCCGCTCTACACAGGCGCTGCTGCTGCTGCCGCTCTACACAGGCACTGCTGCTGCTGCCGCTCTACACAGGCACTGCTGCTGCCGCTCTACACAGGCACTGCTGCTGCCGCTCTACACAGGCGCTGCTGCCGCTCTACACAGGCACTGCTGCTGCCGCTCTACACAGGCGCTGCTGCCGCTCTACACAGGCGCTGCTGCCGCTCTACACAGGCACTGCTGCTGCTGCCGCTCTACACAGGCGCTGCTGCTGCCGCTCTACACAGGCACTGCTGCTGCCGCTCTACACAGGCACTGCTGCTGCCGCTCTACACAGGCACTGCTGCTGCTGCCGCTCTACACAGGCGCTGCTGCTGCTGCCGCTCTACACAGGCACTGCTGCTGCCGCTCTACACAGGCACTGCTGCTGCTGCCGCTCTACACAGGCACTGCTGCTGCCGCTCTACACAGGCACTGCTGCTGCCGCTCTACACAGGCACTGCTGCTGCTGCCGCTCTACACAGGCACTGCTGCTGCCGCTCTACACAGGCACTGCTGCTGCCGCTCTACACAGGCGCTGCTGCCGCTCTACACAGGCGCTGCTGCTGCTGCCGCTCTACACGGGCGCAGCAGCAGCACCCAGCGAGGAGGTGCTGGAGACCGACCGCCCTGGCTCGGGGTCACCTCACGCGAACCCCTCGCACTTCCACGGGTCCCAGTCAGGGTCAGGGTTACATACTGCAGTGTGATTCTACATTGAGTAAGCCGGCGTAGAGAAGGAGATACGGCTAGAGACGGGGATAGACACAGCGTTAGGGTGAGAGATGGCGTGATGGTCAGGGTTAGAGACAGAGTTAGGGTGAGAGATGGTGTGATGGTCAGGGTTAGAGACAGAGGTAGGGTGAAAGATAGCGTGTGGTCAGGGTTAGAGACAGAGTTACGGTGAGAGATGCCGTGATGGTCAGGGTAAGACAAAGGGTGATAGATGGCGTAGTCAGGGTTAGAGACAGAGTTTGGGTTATACTGAGTTAGGGTTTGATACGAGTCAGGGCTGTGTGTACACTAATGTTTACATCTGCAGACACAGCATTTAACTTCCTTTAACTAATCATGCACTGCCTCAGCTCGTCGTGCTCTCTGAGCCCTACCGTCACTCACCTGGCTTCAGTGGTGACTTCACCACGAGAATAACGAGCGAATAATCACCGATACGAGGCTGTGAGTGAGGTACTGGTTGTGTGAGAGAGAGGTACTGGTTGTGTGAGAGAGAGGTACTGGTTGTGAGAGAGAGAGGTACTGGTTGTGTGAGAGAGGTACTGGTTGTGAGAGAGAGAGGTACTGGTTGTGAGAGAGAGAGGTACTGGTTGTGTGAGAGAGGTACTGGTTGTGAGAGAGAGGTACTGGTTGTGAGAGAGAGGTACTGGTTGTGAGAGAGAGGTACTGGTTGTGTGAGAGAGAGGTACTGGTTGTGAGAGAGAGGTACTGGTTGTGAGAGAGAGGTACTGGTTGTCAGAGAGAGGTACTGGTTGTGAGAGAGAGGTACTGGTTGTGAGAGAGAGGTACTGGTTGTGTGAGAGATAGATACTGGTTGTGAGAGAGAGAGGTACTGGTTGTGTGAGAGAGGTACTGGTTGTGTGAGAGAGAGGTACTGGTTGTGTGAGAGAGGTACTGGTTGTGAGAGAGAGGTACTGGTTGTGAGAGAGAGGTACTGGTTGTGAGAGAAAAGTACTGGTTGTGTGAGAGAGGTACTGGTTGTGTGAGATGCGTTACCTTCCCGAATGTCAACGCTAAGATTGCCAGCGGAGCTCTTCCTGCCCCAACGATTCAGGCGCAGATCTCAAAGTCGCGCAGCGCACAGGCGGCCACCGGGTTTGACGATTCGGTCAACCCCGATCTGGGACTACTCAGAGTTCTCTCACCTCTCTCAGCAGCAGCAGCGGCGGCTCCTGCTTTCCTGTCCCGGCCTCTGCAGGCGACTCTCTCCTGAGCTCTGGCTCGTTCCTCACCACTGAGTGAGCCTCTCTCGCCCAGTATGCGGGGAGGTGCGAGGGGGGCGGGAAGTTTCACTTCGCTTGGCTCCCTGCCAGGGGCTTTCCAGGCTGGGACGCGAGGCGGGGGCAGCACCCGGGCTGGCCACGTGGTCTGGTGGTGTTTGTGCAGTGAAGGGACATTGGCCGAAACGTCGCCTATTATATATTTTATTTTAAGGAAGCATCATTGACGAAGTTGTTGGGTTTTATGATGGGTGTGTTTACACTGTGCGGTGTATGGTACATGGTGTGTGTAGTGTGGTGTGATGATGGCTGTTTACATTGTGTGGTGTATGGTACATGGTGTGTGTAGTGTGGTGTGAAGTTGGGTGTGTTTACACCGTGTGGTGTATGGTACATGGTGTGTGTAGTGTGGTGTGATGATGGCTGTTTACATTGTGTGGTGTATGGTACATGGTGTGTGTGAGGTGTGATGATGGGTGTGTTTACACTGTGTGGTGTATGGTACATGGTGTGTGTAGTGTGGTGTGAAGTTGGGTGTGTTTACACCGTGTGGTGTATGGTGTGTGTAGTGTGGTGTGAAGTTGGGTGTGTTTACACCGTGTGGTGTATGGTACATGGTGTGTGTGTGTGGTGTGATGATGGCTGTGTTGACATTGCCCAGTGCAGGATGTTTTATATTTTAGCAGTTACATGTTTGTACAGAGCAGTGGCGGCTCCTGCAAAATCTCTCAGGGGGGGCAAATGTCTGGATGATTGATAAGGATAAGGTCCACCCATGCAATGAATAAATTAACAGCTTAAGCATGTAAAGGCAACTTCACTTCTTTAATATTAATGACAAATAAAGTGACTCTTACAATACATCTTGTTTGTTTATATACTCACTATTAAAACAAACCACTCAAGTTTATTTTATTAAAGATTCCACTAGGTAGCGATAAATTATATTGTTGAATGAAACGTGCTTACGTATGATGACGTTACACGTATGATGACGTAAGCACGTTAGGGCTTGCCCTCCCGGAGCCATAGAGAATGCATTGGAGCGCCCCCGTTCGAAAAAAAACATCTTTGAATGTAAGTCTATGGGGCCACTCGGGGCGATTCTCAGCCGGAGTGAAATCGCCCCAAAAGAGGCGGTACTCCACAGAACGTGACATGACGCTGATTGGACTATATCCAGAGGCTGAGAGTGACGGCTAGCGTGACTGTGGTTGAATGACATTGGTGGTGCGTCGCCCAATCGCCCTAATGAAGAAACTGCCCCTGGTACAGAGATGATATCGTGGTCATTAGGGATCATCCAGTGTAAGGGTTGCGAGTGCATTTAATAACTCCTCAAATTTTCAAATAATTACTTTTACTTTAAAATTGGTAAATGTCTTTCGAGATGATTTCTTATTAAATAAATAATACTGTAATGTGCAGCTCAAGTTTGTGTGGATAACACTTCGGGTTCCCTGTTACTGATTGGGTTTTGTTCCGTAAATTACAAAAAATTGTTCGTAAAAGGATGCAGTCACGTTTTTATTCACGTTTTGAACGGGTTCCCTGTTAATGTAACACATGGAGCAAGTACCGATGCTCGCTGTTTGTATCACGACCTGTGTCTGCGTACCCGTGATTGTGCAGCTAACAATTGTGTCGCATAGGGACGCTCTCAAAGTTCCGTTCACATTCTGAGAGAGGCAAACTAAGACAAGTCAAAGTGAACGACTTCAACTGTCTCTCGTCTCAACCAGCACGGTGTGACGCTCATCTTCATTGGTGGCTCTGAGTCAGCAGTGGAAATTCGTGAACCCGTTCAACACAGAGGCTGGGTGCCCACTGGCATGCTCACTTTGCTGACCCGCCCATACTGGACATCTGTGAGAAAGAGCTTCAAAGCTCATCGGATTCCTCCACTCTAAATAAATACAGATTCTGACTTTACAGCACCACGACTGGTGTGAGGATCAAAGTAACGCGTTCCGTACAGTGCCCGGATACGGAACCCAAGCACGCAGGTAAAGTTCGGGGCTTTCCGACAGTGGCGGTGTCGTTCGCTCGCGGGTTCCTGAGACGCTCGGCACACAGAGCCGCCCTGCAGCCCAACCACACCCAGCACCGTGTGTGTGGGCATAGTCCCTGTGTACCTGTGTACAGGTGTGTGGGTACATATACACAGTGAAGCTGCATGGTCTCCCTATGTACCTGTGTACAGGTGTGTAGGTACAGATACACAGTGAAGCTGCATGGTCTCCCTATGTACCTGTGTACAGGTGTGTAGGTACAGATACACAGTGAAGCTGCATGGTCTCCCTATGTACCTGTGTACAGGTGTGTGGGTCGACTCTACTCAAGACTCTTAAGAGGCCCAAATTCCCACTGACAGTGTTTTTTCCCCTCCACACTCGGGATTGTCACTGCATGTGGTGTCACTGATGGACGCACAGTGAATGTTTTGTTTGATGCAATATTCAGCAGTTTAGTTGTGTTCTTTAACGCTTCGCTAATTAGCACAAAGAACTGCAGCACGTGTGGCCACGTTGTTATATTAGACCACAAACTGAAACATCTATAAACTATGGCCAACCAACAGACAACAGTGAAACAAAGACACAACTGTAGACCGGCTTCGTCTTTATGAGGACTCATCAGTGGAGCAGTCATCAGTCTTCACTGCTGCCGTATGCCCCTGGGAGCCTTACGCAGGGACAGGGCAGACCTCTACGCTATGGTTGGCCATTTTTTCGAATTGTTTTAAGTTGTGGTCTATAAATACAACATGGTCACAAATGTAAGTTATGTCTGAGCTCGAAGTCTGGTTGAGGCTGAGAGGCGTTATACATGCGGTGTGCATCTCTGTGCGTTGGTAAATTGATTTGGAAAGTTAGTGCTTTAGGAGGATGTTACTCATCAGTGGATAGAACACGGGTAATCACGAAGAGGGATCGCTTTGAAGCCTACTTGGTTCAATATAGTATCTGGTGAGTGTCATGTGAGTGGTGTCAGGAGTGTAGTACTGTATCTTGTGAGTGGTGAGTAGTATCTGGTGAGTGGCAGGCAATTTCCGGTAGTGAGTGTTAAGTGAGTGGTGTCAATGTCTAGTGGGTGTTGACTGATTTCAGGTGAGTGGTGTGATGAGTGTGCGTGTCTTGTGAGTAGTTTAAGATAAGTGATGAGGGCTAGGTGAGTGGTGTAAGATGAGTAGTGAGTGGTGAGTGAGTGAGTGAGTGGTGAGTGTGAGTGGCGAGGGCTAGGTGAGTGTGAGTGGTGAGGGCTGTGTGAGTGGTAAGGGCTCGGTGAGTGTGAGTGGTGTGAGTGAGTGGTGAGTGTGAGTGGTGAGACATCATCAGGCTGACCACGAGTGCTGAGGGCTATATGAGTGGTGTATGATGAGTGTTGAGTGGTGAGGGCTAGGCGATTATGAGTGGTGAGGGCTGTGTGAGTGGTCACGGCTAGGTAAGTGTGAGTGGTGAGTGAGTGGTGAGTGTGAGTGGTGAGTGTGAGTGGTGAGTATGAGTGGTGAGTGAGTAGTGAGTGAGTGGTGAGTGAGTGGTGAGTGTGAGTGGTGAGTGTGAGTGGTGAGTATGAGTGGTGAGTGAGTAGTGAGTGGTGAGTTAGTGGTGAGTGTGAGTGGTGAGTGTGAGTGGTGAGTGAGTGGTGAGTATGAGTGGTGAGTGAGTGGTGAGTGAGTGTGAGTGGTGAGTGTGAGTGGTGAGTGTGGTGAGTGAGTGGTGAGACATCGTCAGGCTGACCACGAAGACCAAGACAAGGAGCGCCGTGGCCACAGCCAGCGGCGCTTCCTCAAGCAGCAGCGCCAACGCGCCAGACGCGACACGTCGGGGTTGTTGTTGTTCTAGGGGTTTATTTTATACTCGCAGGAAGTACCCGGCGTTGCCCCGGGGGAAAAATATATTTCAAAACGTGTCTTCTCTTAGCAGCGTTACTACTGGGTAGACTGCATCCAGTCTATGATCGGCTCGTCGCGTGCGGTGGGGTAAAGTGTGGGTTTGCTCACCTCTTCCAGGGCATCTGGTCAGCGTGGAGTAATCGAACAGGCGCTCTCTCGAGCTGCCTCCAGTGAAGCCCCTTCCACGAGCAGCGGTGCGAGCGAGCACTTGCGGGGCTGCGCCTTGACGCTTTAACTGAAACACGAGGAGGGCACATCGTCCACGCAGTGACCTCGAATCGATTATAATCAGTAGGATGATAATAAGCATCAAAATTATCATCACCGTCTTCTTAATGATCATCTTCGGTAGCATTTTCAGAATTATCATCATCAGCAATGCGATGACTGTCATCAGCAGTATCATAGTTATCATCAGTAACATCTTAAAAACTGTCATCAACAGCATCGTCATAATTATCAACATCAGCAGCAGCAATATCGTTATAATTATAATCAGCATTATGCTTATAAGCAGCAACATTGTCAAAACTATCAACATCATCCTAATTACTGTCATCACCATCATTGCATTATCCTCAGTATCATCAACAGCTTCGTCAAAATGGTCATTATCAACTTCATAATGATAATCAGCAGCAATGTCATAAATACCATCATCGGGAACATTCTCATCAGCAGCGTTGTATTGAATACTAGCGGGAAGTAGCCGGCGTTGCCCAGGGGAAAGATATATTTCAAAATGTATCTTTAAAACATAACATATACTGTACATACACAAGCTTCAAATCAAGATTGTACACACACAAATACTGAGCTATTGTGAAAGCCCGGCGTTCCGTTTGTCCCATTTGTCCGTCAACAAAATTAAAGAGGCTTGCAGAAGTCCAGAATCAAAAAGTCATAGAAAGTGGGGGGTAAATAGTTGATCTAAAAGGTTTCCACAAATTGTCGACCCCCCCCCCCCTCAGCCAATTGTTATTTTGTAGGCATAGACACCTACACACGCTACGTA